ATCTCTCATACTTTGGACATGTTGCTAGAAGAGGCTATTCCTTGGAAAGTGATATTGTGTTAGGAAAAGTGGAAGATCAGTGAAAGAGAAGAAGACCCTCAACGAGATGGATTGACATAGTGTCTGCAGCTATGGGCTCAAATGTGTCAGAGATGGTACAAGATAAGACAGAGTTCAGATCTATTGTTCATAGGGTCACTATTAGTCATACCTGACTTGATGCCACTGAACGACAATGACATTAACTACGTTTTGTCTTTCAATGACATGTATGGGTATAATTTTCAATATTTCATGATAATTGGCAGTTGAGGAACATCTACATATAGAATTTGAAGAGATGGTCAAAAGGAGGTCATTTCCTTTTTGGGGCTGCCTACAGGCTGCTGCTAGCATCAAATGTTTGTCCAATCCAGGCCAAGTGTCAGGCAGACTAGGGCTTTGTATGCAAATTTAAAACAAATTCTTTCAGTGCATCCTACTGTAAGTTAAGGCGTTCTGGTAGCTCAGTCATTAAGTGCTTGACTAATAATGGAAGGATTGGTGCTTTGAGCCCACCAGCTGCTCTGTAGGAGAAAGATGTAGCAATCTGATTTTGCAGAGACTTCCAGCCTTGGAAACCCCTTTGGAGTAGAGTCACTCTGTTACAGGGTCACTATGAGTCAGAATAAATAATGAGGCTATTTAAGTAACACAAATTCACAAAAAATGTAAGTGGAAGTCATCAAGATGTGATACCCAGGTGCAGGCTGCTGGTCACCACGAATGGCAGAGGAAGAAGAAGCAACAGGAAAACTGGAAAGATTAGTCTTTACCACGGGAACCTCAGAAAGGTTCTCAGAATATGAGTCTTTGCCTCCATTTTGAGGGGGACAATCTCAGTTACCAATCGTGCTTTTTTACATCCTTAAGAGGAGTTTCTTATTTCTTCTGCCTTGCTGGTTCTTCCTGTGTCCAAGCTCCAGGACAGTAACTAAGAATCCACAGTGAGGTTTTTTTCCCTAAGCCATAAATCTCAAGACATGCCCTTGAAAACTGGGTAAGGACAAGAAGGTGGAGCATTTTATTAGCTGGAGGTTTGGAAAGATACAAGGATTTGTAGGCAAGGTCAGTATTTCCCAAGGTTTTTTTTTTCTGAAAATACTTTGCTTTTGATTTCAGGGCTCTGATTCAGCCCCAGGCGGGCATTCCATTTTGGGATGACTATACTCCCCAGGGTGCCCTGGAAACTAGCTCTTTCTCCACCTACAGTTTCCACAAGAAACATCTGCTTTAGTTTATTTGTAAGTCAAAGCAACAAACTGTCAATACATCATCTTTTTCCGCTCTGGGATGCATTCCTCTTGGCTGATGCGAGCCCTTCCCTGAGGGTTCACCTCTGGACCTCCTGTGTGTTTGTTAAACTGTGAACTGATTTTGATGAGAATTTGAAGAGCGCCTTACATCCTAGTTTACTTAACCTTCTCACACGAATAGCAAGGTTTCTCTGTGGGGAATCCTGGTGTGACTACTGACTCATCAGATAAGAAATGAGCCTTGAAACAGGAAGAAAAAAAATAATTAAGGCCTTTCAATACCAATGTCATTCTCTTCATCTGTAGGTACGTCAGCATTGCAGGGAGCAGTCTGAACTTGAAATCTGCAGACTCCGGTTGAAATAACATTCCTGCCAGATACTATGTGACTTGGGATAGTTTCCACGACTTCTCAGGGCCTCAGTGTCCTCATCCATAAAATGCAAATAACGACACCTACCCTTCCAAACACAGAAGGGTCTTAGGGACTCAGGATGGGAAGGCATATTATCGAGCATTTGGTGCTTGAATTCTCCCTTATAAAATACTATCAGTAAGTCTTTCAAAGTATTTTTGAATCCTTCTGGTACAAGGAATTCACTCCCACAGAGCCCAGTGTATAGTGGGATAGCTGTAAATTATTTTGAGCTGAAATGGTCTCATTTGAGATGCTACCAATTGGTAGAATGTGGAAACACAGAGACAAGTCCAATCACCTTCTGGAAGAAAGGCTGTCAGGTGTCTGTGGGTAGTGCCATTCTTGATTCTGACAATCTAGTCTCTGCACCTTTTTCCCCCACTAGGTTAAGCCTTTGACTTTCTTCACTACCATAGTTACTGTTCTCCAAAGGGACTTGAGGTAACTAGTGACCCTAACAATATCTTGTCCATAGCTAAATGTGGCATTGAGGATTGCCTCAATTGAGGAAACCTCACTGAGGGAACCAAGTGGGAGAGAAATTCTTCATTCTAGATGCTAGCATTCTATTCACGCATCTGGGCCCTCAGTCCATTTGTTTGATGGGTATATCCCAATAGCTGCACTTTCTGTATAATCTTAATTTCAAATACTTCACTCTCTGATCATAACTTTCTTTTCTTTCCAGCTCCTTTCTTCCTTTACTAAGTGTACAATTCAACCAGGATTTAGCATCCACTCTATAACAGTCCTTTACCTTTCTCCTCCACCATTCCCTTAATATCCAGTGAGTCTGCATGGCATGTTATTGTAATTACTCCCTGGAATATGCTCTCAACTCCTTTCTTTCTTTGGTCTGCTTGCCTGACAAAATTCTAACTCTGATTCAAATCTACCTATTCTTGCTTTGTACTCAGACAGTTGAACTGGCTAGAGAAAAACTCAGAAATGGGTTCACTTCTCTTTAAATTTAAGTTTAAGTGTAAGATTATTTGGAAGCAGGAGTGGCATCCACTTCCTAAATAGAATGCATCTGGAAACTCTACGAACTTTGATAAAGGTTGATGTTGTAGAGAGTCTTCGGGCCTTTTTTTCAAGGGGTTGCTATGAGTAGTGCTCGACTTGAAGGCAATCGACAACAATAACAGCAACAACAATCGCCTTCCAATTAATCTTTAAATCCCATTTGTCCCCTCATCCAGTGGTTTTCCCACTCTCCTAGATAAAGAAGTTATATTTCCTTCTTCCCTAAACCTCTGCCATCCCTGACTCATCTTTACTCTCGGCTGCATTCAGTCATACACTCCCACTATATCTACTCATTTACCTGGATCCTTGTCCAGCAGCCTGCCTGCCACTTAACTGTAGACGATTTTCCATGTTTAGACTGTCTAAGACTAAGTTCTTCATGTGTTCACTAGATTCCTTTCCACCTGCTCACTTCATTATTTTCTCTTTTCTACAGCACACTCCCATCAGCTTATAACCATAATATTATCTTCTGTCATCTTAAAACCAAAATAAAACACAACAACCACCTATTATTATTATTATTATTTTTTTTTTTAATTCTCAGGTAAAGAAACGAAGATTCCTAAAATCTCAACAACCTGCTCAAGATCAGAGACCTGGAAAAGAGTAGAGTTAGGGTTCAAACCCAACTTACGACTCCCAAAGCCAACTCAAATTAGACGTTACAAGCTGCCGTGGTAGATCAGTTCTCTTTCCAGCCCACGTCTCTGTCCAAGTGGCTGAGCAACGGGCAGATCAACTCTACCATGACTTGCTAGAACACTTTTGGGACAGCAAAGATGGCTAGAGGTTTTCAAGAGAGACAGCAAATGGTTTGGCCTCCAGAGGCCTACTGGGTTGCTGAAGTGTAAAGACTAGCTTTAAACTCGACGGCATTCCAGCCACGGCAGGGGGAGATGTGGCCAGACAGACAGGCATATGCCGCAGGGGAAGGGAGCAGAAGCTGCAAACCTCACATCCCAGATGCAGGCATAGAGAGGTCTGCTGATGTCGTTCATATCACTATTTTTTTTTCAAGTGCTTAACTACAAATTTATTTGGTTGATCATAACAATATTTTTGTGTGTGTCAATTTTAACATTGTTGTTGATTGTAAAGTTTTTGTTGATTTTTTTACATTTTTTAATTGATTTTAACATTTTTTTGGCTGATTTGAATATATAAATACAATTAAATAAATCTGAGGGGGAAAAAGGGATAGCAAAGGCAAATCAGCACTCACAGAAATGTATTCCATTATTACTATGATTAGCCTGGGATACAACATTCATTTGAAATATGTGCACAGAAAACTTAAGAGAAAGACCTAAAGGGAAAGGTTGCACATCTCTACCACTTTGGATCTACCAGCATTCCATAGGAAAAGATGGGCAGTCTCCTCCTGTGATGATTTACGGTCTCAGGAACCCTATGGAGGCGGCTGTGAGTTGGAGTTGACTCAGTAGCAGTGAGCTGGAGTGAGTTTTGAGTGCAAAGATGACACCTCGTAAATCCTGCAGAGCCTGTGAGGTCCACTTCAGTGACTCATTAACACTGCCTGATCCTCACAGGTAAAAATGATGATTAATGTAGCAAGTTGCCTTCCAAAGTCATTTTGTCAGAAAGGTGTACTTTTCCCCCACCATTGAGTAACATCTCTATTCATACTGGGAAGGAATCCAGAACAATTCAGGATAAGGAGGACTCCTCTGTGTGCACCTAACCTTCAGATTGTTGCTGCGTGTCAGTGAGTAGGAACTGACCTGCAGTTGACCCTCCAGTGTGTTTTCAGAGGCAGTAAATCGCACAGGAGGAGTTTGCCCATTCTTCTCCCAAGGAGCAGCTGGTACATTCAAACAGTGTGCCTGCCTTCAGGAGTGCAGTGCAGATTCTTATCACTATGCCATCAGTGCTCCGAGATCTTTAGGTTACAAGAGCTTTTAATCATCACTGTTTCTCCTACCCTATCCTTCCCATGATTCTCCCAGAAAAGGAGTCCATTTGCCTTTCAGTTTCCAAGATTGAATTTTCAGACTACCCTAAAAAAAACATGCATCTACTGCTTCCTATGTGTCAAAACTAGCCTTGACTTCAGTCATGCTATCTCACAGCCTTCATTCAAAAGAAAGGCTGATGCACTTACTTGTCTGTTATAGCCTTCATGAACTCATCCAGCAGGTCATCGTACTCCTTCCCACGCACACGCTGGTGTTTCAGACCAATGTACAGAGGGTCTCTGAGCAGCTCCTGGAAGAGATGACACACACTCCCTGAGTCCCCACTTTAGTGTTTTCTGCTCCCCACCCCTCAGCACCTTCCACCACAGTTTCCTCAAGTGTCCTGGTTTTGGGGGACTGCTAAGAGGGTTGGAGGTAGAGGTAGGTTTCTTATCTAGCCACCTAACTTCATAGTCTATGACCCTAACCACTAGGCAATCCTGCTAATGTGGTTCTTTTGCATAAAAAATAATTGATTTATTATTTTAAAAGGCTTGACTCTAGACCTTATCTGCCCTGAAATCACTGTAGAAGGTAGCTTAGAGGAGAATAGGAAATACCTACTTTCCCAATCTTCTATCTAGCCAATCCTGGGGGCAATGTAATCAGTCAGGTGGATTTAGCACTGTTTTCAAGGTACCACATGGCAAGATTTAGAAAGAAAGTTAATCCTAACTTCCTTTCTTGCTTTTTTCACCCCCTAGATTGTATGTCTTCAAAACTGTTCAGGATTTGTTCCTGGTGTGTTGAGACAGAGAAAAACAGACAGACTAAAGGATGAGGGTGCCCTTTCACATGCCATCTTTAGAGAACTCTTCTGAAAATCAGTTGGAGGCAACAAACATCCAGTCAAGGGAGAAATAATAAATTAGAGAATAATAACTTGCTGGACAGTTAGGCAATTATCAAAACTAAATGCATCAACAATCTGCATTATGCAGATGACACAACCCTGTTTGCTGAAGCTGAGGAGGACCAGAAGCACTTGTTGTAGAAGGTCAAGGACTGCAGCCTTCAATATGAATTGAAGCTCAACATCAAGAAAACAAAGATTCTTACCACTGCGCCAATTGGCAGCATTGTGATGGATGGTGGAGAGATTGAGATTGTAAACAGCTGTAATTTGCTTGTCTCCACAGTCAACATCCTTGGCACCAGCATTCAGGAAATTAAAAGATGTATTGTGTTGGGAAAGTCTGCTGTCGAGACCTCTCCAGAGTATTGAAGAGCAGTGATATCAGTTTGGAGACTAAGGTGTGCCTCATCCAGGCCATGGTCTTTGCAATCATTTGCTATGCATCAGAGAGCTGGACAATGACTAAGGATGATAGAAGGAAAATGGATGCCTTTGAGCTGTGGTGTTGAAGAAGAATATTGAATATACCATGAACTGCTAAGAGAACAAACTGGTTCATCCCAGAGAGGGTGACACCAGGTTGATCCTTGGAAGCAAGGATTCTGAAGCTTTGTCTGATATACTTTGGACATGTCGCAAGGAGGGACCAGTCCTTGGAGAGGGACATCATGCTTGGGAGGGTGGAGGGACAGTGCAGGAGAGGAGGACCCTTGATGAGATGGATTGATTCAGTAACTGGGGTAATGAGGGCAGGTGTGCTGGAGACAATAAAATTGGCACAGGATAGAGCAGAGTTTAGGGCTATTGTACATAAGGTCACTATAAGTCACAGGCGACTTGATGGCACACAACAACAACAACAATGGTGTTTAAGCCTAAGCAGCCACTGGAATAAACGTGTATGAAATTATTTAAGTTGAAAAAACAAAACCAAGCCAGTATATGAAATTATATATGTATTGTAATAATGGTTATCTGAAATACACACATGCATCCTTGAGAGAGAAACACAATAGTGATAAAAAACAGTATAGCCCTTGGCATGTGCAGAGAATATTTACTTCTCATTCTCTACCCAGTTCTTAGGATTTCTTTCCGGTGGTATAGTCTATAGGGAGTTGCACTGCTTGGCCAAAGACTGTATCTCTTTGTAGTTTGAATCCACCGGTGGCTCAAATAGTATGTCTCAAATAATGCACGGAACATAACTTATGCTAAAAAGTGACTAGCTGTTCCCCCATGACTCATCTTTCAGGCAAACAATGGATAAGCCTACAGGTAATCAGTAATACCAGGAAGGATGGTTCTCCTAAGAACAATCAACCATTCAAGACTGAAAAGGCAGACTTTGCCCAGGAATAACTCTCAAAATGCAGGGAAGGGGTAAGAAAGAAGGCTAAACGAAAATAGGAGACACAGGGAAGAAGTGAGAAGACGGCTTTTGCAACATGGGATTGTAGCAATGGCACAAAATAGAATCAGTGTAAATTTTTAAGTGGAAAATTGATTTGATCTGTAAACCTTCACTGAAATTACAGTGTTGTTGTTAGGTGCCATGGAGTCCAGATGACTCACAACAGATTTGAATCCTGTCCTATTCTGTGCAGTCCTCACAATCTCCGACACATTGAAGCCCACCACTATAATCACTCTGTCAATCCACCTGGCTGAGAATCTTCCTCTCCTTTGTCATCCCTCCACCTTTCCAAGCACAATGTCCCTCTCCAAGGAATAAACTCTCCTAGCAACATGTCCAAAGTACGTGACATTGAAGCTTCATCATCTTTGCTTCCAAGGAGCATTCGTGACTGCACCTCCTTCAAGAAGTATCTGTTTGCTGTTTTGACTGTGCAGGTGATACTCAGTCCTCTTCTCCAACACCACAGTTAAAAAACATCAATTCTTCTGTTATCCTTATTTATTGTCCAGCTCTCAGACGTGACTTAAAGGACCTTGGCCTGATTCAGGCACACCTTAGTCCCCAAAATGACTCAATAATTTGGAGAAGTCCTGACTACAGACTTTTCCAGTACAAAGTATTTCCTGATTTGACTGCTGGTGTCAATTGTACTGAGTGTGGATCCAAGTAAGATGAAGTAGTTGACAGTCTCAATGAATGACTCTTTGAATAGTTAACATTTACATTATCCCATTGTACATTTATATTTGCTAAATCTGCTAACTCTATCAATGGAAGCAGCAGAGAAGGTTGGGAGGCAGTGTTCTGTAGAGGAAAGGGCACTTCCTGACCTGATGACCAAGGCCAATACAGACCTGGCTGAGCATGCAGCTCCTGTATGACCCAGCTCTGGAATAAAAATGGATTTTGGGCTTTATACTTAAACAGACTTGGATCTGACTTCAGGCTCTGTCTCTTTACTAAGTCTGTAACTTTGAGAAAAGTTTTTAACTTATCTCTAGTTTTATTCTCTGTAAAACTAAGGTAATAATGATCCCTGTCACATAATGCAAGCGCTTTGAAGAAAAGGATTTACTTTATTCATTATCTTTTCAACAATTTGTTCTGTGCTGACATATGTTAGGCCCTTAAGAAGCATCTTTTTCTGATGTGAGTTGCATGAGTAATGGGACTAAGCCAAGGAGAACTATGAAGATCTTAGAAATCACTTGGTTCAATGAACTCCCCAAGGTCACATAGCGTATTAACAGGCATAACAATCCCCACCACTGGACCAATAGACAAAATCATGCTAGAGGGATAAAAGATTGAAATTGTCAACAATTTCATTGTACTTGGATCTACAATCAACATCCACAGTAACAAGAGTTAAGAAATCAAAAGACGTCACTTTGGGAAAATCTGCTGTCAAAGACCTCTTCAATCATCAATAATGATGTCAGTTTAAAGACTAAAGGGTGCCTGATCCAAGCCATGGCATTTTCAGTTGTTTCTGATGACTCTGAAAGTTGGATAAGGCATAAGGAAGATCAAAGAAGAATGAATGCCTTGAATTGTAGTTTTGGAGAAGAATATTGACTATCCTAATGTCTGGGCAAAAGGACAAATAGATTTGACTTGAAGGAAGTACAAAGTCTAAAGTGTTTCTTAGAGACAAGGATTGTGACAATTGGTCTCACATATTCTAGACATGTTGTTAGGAGAAGCCGGTCTTCAGAAAAAGACATTATTCTGGAAAAGGTTAAGGGTTGGAGAAAGAGAGGAAGCCCATCAGCAGGATAGGTTGACATAGTGAGACTGGGACTACAGGCTTGAGCATTGAGATTGTGAGGATGGTACAGGATAGGGCAAGGTTCAGACCTGTTTTTCATAGGGTTGCTATGAGTTTCAGCTGATTTGACAGCACTTAACAACAGTGGAGAAACCACAGACTGAGAACAACTCCATGATAGAGACCGGCTCATTTATCTCTGATTCCTCCTGTCAAGCAGAGTTACCTGTTATCTAAATATCACCAGAATCAATAAATATTTCCCACTTTTAGACAGTTACTAAATTCTCCTTGGAACTAAGTTAAACCTATGGCTCTAATCTTAGTCTAGAGCACACATAGATTACACTAGCAGATATGGCACTGGAGGCTGAGCCTTTGTATAGGGAAACACAAAGGAGGAGGAATGGTTGCAGGTAGAAACTAGTAGTTGGAATGTAGAATATGAGAAGTGGAATGTAGGAAAATTGGACATTGCAAAGGAAGAAATGGAACACATAAATATTGACATACTAGGCATTGGTGAAATGAGATCAATTGGCATGGGACATTTTGAATCAGATAATCATATTATCTACTATGCTGGAAACGAAAAGGTGGGGATAAACTGGGTCACATTCATAGTAAAAAAAGACCATTTCTAAATCCATCATGAAATACAATGTAGTGAGCAACAGGAAAATATCCATACACATACAAGGAAAACCTGCTAATACCACTATCATTCAAATGTATGCATCGACACCAGAGCTAAAGAGGAGGAAAGGGAAGATTTCTACCAATTTTTGCAGTTGGAAACTGATCAAACATGCGACCAAGATGCATTAATAATAATGGGTGACTGGAATGCAAAAGTTGGGAACAGAGAAGAAGATCACTAGTCTGAAAACATGGACTTGATGACAGAAATGAGGCTGAAGATAGATTGATAGAATTTGTACAATTAAATGATTTACTCATTGCAAGCATTTTTATAAGAACCAATGGCGACTATGCACATAGACCTCACTTGATGGTCTTCATAGGAGTCAGATTACTACATCCATGGAAAGAATAAATGGCAAAGTACAATCTCAGCTGTGAAAACTAGGCCAGGCTCCAATTGTGGAACAGATCATCAGCTACTCATATGCAAATTCAAACTGAAGCTAAAGAAAATGAAATCAAATCCCTAAGATCCAAAATTTGACCTTGAGACCACTT